GCTGATCTTCCCCTTGGCGTTGGATGTAGTCTCTCCTTCATCTCCTGGCCTTTTGGGCTCTGGTCAGGGGGGTTGCCACGTCGATCAAAACCTCCCACCACCGGCGAGGCGGTATACCCCTGCGCCACCCTGCCAAGCCCCATGTCCGTGATCAAAGCGTGCACTCGCGCGCAACTTTCGCCTCTGCCAGGACGTCCCTGATCGCCCCATTCGGTCAGCTGTCCCTCTCCCTCCCAACTCCAATTTGGGCTGCCAAGTCGCATTCGTCCTGGCCGAATCCGACCAGGACAACGCCATCAACCGTCCGAGCTGGCGGCAAGATGGACAAGGGAGTTTGCCAACTACATCCTGGACGCAGCCCAAATGACGTTGGCAGGATGCCCTGGCGATCACGAGGACCTTAAGGGGAGAGTTGCAAGGCGCGCTCCCAGCGATGAACGGGAGGCCTTCCGCGTAGCCATCGAAGAGGGTGTCGTGACGCAGATGGGAGCAGAAGGGGAGCGCTACGACTACATCCTGTTCGAAGGGGAGGCCAGGATGCTATACCACGGAGGACAAGGTCGGGTCAGAGTTCTGTGGGGCGGTCAACCGCCTCAACGACTTGTTTGCAGTGGAGCAAATCATCCCGGACCAAGCTAAGTGGAGGCTGGGCCATGTGGAATGACATGGATCCATTGCCATTGTGAAGGTGATGATGCTCAAGGTGGTGCAGGAGCTATTTAGCACCCTTGCAGAGGGGGTGTTGCTCCAATCCAGGCAGTAACGGGGAGAAATACTCCTCTGCCAGGGTCACTCCTAGCCCAGGTGACGAGTGGGAAGGTGAAGTTCAAGACACGCATTAGGGAACTACAATATGATGTTCCTCAGGCCTCAGGCCTCAGGCCATGCGATCGGCGCCCGACAAGGAGGAGACCAAGCCCCACATGCTGCCGTTTAAGATGTTCGAGCATTCGGCCAAGGACCTTGGAGCCCCATGCACAGCATTGCAAGAGGCGCCAGTGAGGAACCGTCTGGAGTCAGCCTATGGGGAACTCAAGAAGGTCCGGAAGGAGTTCAAGAAGGACGTAAAAGAGAAGGAGAGGCAAGCTGCTCGCGGAAGTGCGCCTGGGAGCAGCAGCAGGAAAGGCCAAGGGCCAGCCAAGGGCAAGGACAAGGACAGCTTGGTGGCGGCAAGGGCAGAGCAACCGAGCTGGAGCGGACTACGGTCCGAGGTGGAGACCCACGCCCAGCTGTGGGAGATTGATGAGTACGCCGTTGACGATTGTGGAGAAGGCTGAGGCGACTGCAGAAGAGGAAGGAAAGGCCGCACTGGAAGCCCAATTGGGCGCGATTGATTTTAGGGGCCACAGAGACAGTAAGGCTGGGAGGGTTCCGACGTTGGCGCCCACGGCAAGCATTCTGGCACACAATACCCTGAACATGGTCGCCGCGCAGCTTGGGTGGGCGGTGCACGAAGGCGGCAGGACAAGGAACGACTACCGGAGGAGAGAGAGGTCTATGTTCGCACGCCCCGAAGGATATCCAGAACATGTCACAAGCTTCATCAAGGAGAAGGTGGGAGAAGGATGCCGGAGCGATCTCCTCACTTTGCGAAAAGGTGGATTTGATCTTTGCGAACCCCCAAGGCTATGGTACCTGGAGTACAAGGCCACGTTGAAGGACATCAACCTCAACAAGCTCAAGTTGATTCCTGGTTTGTGGCCCTCCACCCGGATGGACACCTGCGAGCGCTGGTTACAATCCACGTTGACGATGCTCGCTACGCTGGAGACGACGCTGCGCAGGAGATCTGGGACGCCTTGGATTGGCAATGTCGCAAGGCCACGGATGGGTGGCAAAAGTTCTGTGGAAGAGGACCCCACTACACTCGAGTTCTACTACACGATGGAGGACTATATGGCCAAGATTCCGGACATCGTGAAGGAGGAGTGGGCGGCAGAGAAGGGGCCATTGACCGAGCAGGAGCGGGTGAAGGTTCCTCCGTCCTCGGCCAGGTCAACTGGGCGGCCCGACAGGGGCGATATGATCTCTCGTATATAGGGTGTCACATTGTCAACAACTTGCGGGAGCTGGACTCCGCGAAGCGATGGAGTGGACCGCCAAGCTGGTGGCTCGGGCCAAGAAGCCATTTGAGGTCAAGGTGGGAAGTTGGACTGCAACCTCAAGGACATGGTGGTGATCTCAGCGAGCAACGCGGCGTACGCCGCTCAGCCGGAGGGCCACTCACAGGGCGGAGTGATCTGCATGGTGGAAAAGCTGGTCCCATCTAAAGGCTAATGCACACTCCACAAGCAATCATGTCAAGCCATGCTCAACATGCCTCCACACACCCCCTACAGAGAAAGAGGCTCTCCAACTAGACGACGAGTGGCCCGAAAGCATTTTTCATCACGTAGGAAGTCCAGAGCGTGAGTTATGTGTTAAGTGTTCAGTGTGAAGTGTTAAGTCGAGTGAGTAGTGGCAGTGTGTGGGTCTCTGTGTGTGTGTGTATCTATGTCTGTGTGTGTTTGAGTCTTTGTCTGTGTGTGTGTCCGAGTGAGTTGAGGCAGTGTGTGGGTCTCTGTGTGTGTGTATCTATGTCTGTCTGTGTATGAGTCCCTGTCTGTGTGTGTGTCTGCTGCTGGTAAGGGGAAACGGTGAAGGTCTTCACTCGAGATATAGTGAACCAAGTAGCGCGCAGGCCTCCCAAACCCCCCACCGGCGGCCAAGCGGTGACAGCTCAGCCCATCTTCGTGAGCATTTGAGCTGCTGGTAAGGGCAACCTGAACCCCCCACTGGCGGCCAAGCGGTGACAGCTCAGCTCATCTTTGAGAGCATTTGAGCTGCTGGTAAAGGGAAATAGTAAAGCACACAGCTCTTCTGCCTCGCTGAGACGTTACATCCACCTCAGAGCGTCCATTCCTTGAGAAGCAGCGTTCACGCCTCCAGGAAATCTCACCGAAAAAAGCGAGCAGCTACGCAACAAGTTTGTCGAAGGTGACCTGTCAGAGGAGATGCGTCCATCGATATACGATCAGAGGTAACGTTTCCTTCACTCTAGGACACAGCTTCTCTAGGATGTAGTTAACCAACCACTATGCTTGTCATTGTCTAATTGACTGTCTCAAAGAAAAACGTGACAAAGTAGCATGAGGTGACACACAGCAGCCACTGCATATGTTTTAGCGTACTCTCTCTGCTCAGCTCGCGACTAGCCTTTGTACACAGAAAAGATAGTTTATGTCTAGTAACCGCCTTGTTGTGCTTCCGCAGAACGACGTCCACACAGGAGGTGTTTGGAAGAAGTCACGGTATGAAACATGCAGTTGGTTTCCATGTGAACATCTTGTTGTTTTTTCACCCCCATTCAGGGTCTTTGCCTAGTTAGGCAGCAGGGTCTTTGCCAGCCTGTTTTGGGTCTAGTGCGTTGACCCGAAGCAGATCTGGATGGTGTAGGCATCTGTGAAGTTGCGGCTGTTGTTCCTCACCAGTCTTCCCATCCATTGGACCACCTGACCACTGGCCAAAACTGCCAGGTTTCTCCATGGGCAACCCAGTCTCTGGTTTCTATGGACTGGTTTGGCCATCTTTCATGGATGGGCTCTGGCTGGTTGTCATGGTATGTCCTGCTACCATAGGACCAACAGAGGCACACCTGTCTCTGGTCATCATGGGTGACGATGAAGAAGTGGTCGTCAACAATGCCAAGGTTCCCTGGCATGATGGCTGGGAAAAGAGGCAGACCTACGAGCAAGTGGGCTGCAAATTGGTAAATTGTTTTTTCAGCATTGGTCAATGAGGCTCAGCGCATGCATAGCCATAAGAAGGCTCTGTTTGCCTTGTAAAACTCACGTCGGAAATGAATATTGCAAAAGCTTGTGGGGTGCGTTGAAACTTCTTGCAAGTATATTCTTCATTGCTGTTGAGTTGCTTTGGTTCCTGGCTAAGATATGTGGCAGCTGGCCCAAGTTGCATGGAGACTTCTGCAATCTCACTGTGAGCGCCGAAAGGTCAGCCACGCAAAATGCACAGTCTGTTCGCACAGATGCTCTAAAGGTGACACTTGCTTCGCTCTAGATGTAGTTAACAACCACTATGCTGGTCATTTTCTAATCGCCTCTCCCAGACAAAAACGCGCCCAAGTAGCTGGAGGTGACACGCAGCGCCCATTGCATATGTTTTTGCGCGCTCTCTCTGCTCAGCTCGCGGCCAGCCCTTGCATACGGAACAGAATCCCCGACATTATGTCCTGGTTCTGTGTTACAGTTTGCTTTGCAGTTTGGGCAAGATCCGACGCAATTATCGCTCAGGGACTGGACGTCATTCTGCGGAAGTTCTTTGGGGGGTGGACACAACGCCTCAGCGAGGCGTGGGAGCCCAAAAAAACAGATAAGCCTCACAACTCCTGCGTGGACGTCGTTCTGCGGAAGCACAACAAGTACTGGGGAGTACTCCCCATCACTATTGCGAAAAGATACCATCATGATGTCAAAGATCTTTGTCTAAAGCTTATCTATTCTCTTTGGGGTTCTGGTCCTCGCTGAGGCGTTGCGTCCACCCCCCAAAGAAATTCCGCAGAATAACGTCCATTCCCTGAGAGGCAATTGCGTCGGACCTCGACCAACATGGAAAACAAACTATACGACAGAACCAGAGTACTGCCCATCACTATTGTCAACAGAAACTTTCATGAGATCAAAGATCTAAAGCTTATCTATTCTCGTTGGGATCCCCGACCTCGCTGAGGCGTTGTGCCTACCTTCCGCAGAACAACGTCCATTCCCTGAGTCAGAGGACTTGCGTCGGACCTTGAGCAGAACGCAAAGCAAACCATGACACACAACCAGAGTACTCCCCATCACTATTGTCAAAAGAAACTTTCATGATATCAAAGATCTAAAGCTTATCTGTTCTCGTTGGGATCCCCGACCTTGCTGAGGCGTTCCGCCCGCAGAACAACGTCCATTCTCTGAGAGGCAATTGCGTCGGATCTTGACCAGAATGCAAAAGGCCACGTAGAATCAGGCCACCGCAGTCTTGCCTGTCAGCCTCCGCCGCTTTGCTTGCCCTACCCCAGAAACACCGAGCGTGCGGTTCACGTAAGCATTTTGCCTCCAATCCAGCTTCTGGATGTATTTTTCCGCTGCTGGCTCACTCTCCACAGACAGACGTTCAAAGAGCCTCATACGATCCACCAAAGTCTTGTTGCGCTCATGCAAGAAGCCTTCGAAATATGGGCGCTCAGGTACTCCAATGAGCCATAGATCGCTCAACGTCGTTGCTCGTGACAACATGACATAGAGGGCCAAACCGTAATCTCCGTCCTTCATCATCCAGGGAGGTTGGTTCAGAAAAGCGACCAGGCCAGATCTCGCAGCGATGCCAAAATGAGTCAGCGCTCGCTGTGGAGCCAAGGGCACCTGCGCGTCAAGGAAACTAAAAGACAAAGACATACAAACACTACTGATATTATATATACAAGAGACCCAAAAAGATGCAAAAAACGATTACACGAGATTTTTGCGCCCCAAGCCTGTTTCCGAACACGTCGAAGTTTCTGCTTGGGCACAACTTCAAAGACCCAGGCCGATTGCTTGTTGAACACAGGCCTGACATAGAAATGACCCTTGGGCACGTCGTCGCCAGGGACCCGAAACTGACCGTAATCTTTGTCTGCGACCTCCATCAAGACTCCAAGCGGTTGGTACTGCAGAACCACGCAAGCTGCTCCAGGTGGGGTTGGAGGTTCTTTGGGATGCAATTCTATGCGCCGCACGATGCAAGGTAGCTCACGCGTCAACAAGGGCTCCGGCAAGATGCACGTAATACGAACTTCCATCCCAAGAAACAACGGACACATGCCAATCAAATAGCCAGTCTTGGTCATGTTCAAACACTGCAGAGCTGCGCTGACCTGGGCGGAAGACAGTCAATGTTTTCGCTGCGTTGGTGTAAGCGCAAAAATGCTCACACCAAAAAGCATTTTTCACCACATGTGACGTCTAATGTAAGTTTTGTGTTAAGTGTTAAGTGTAAGTGTTCAGTCTAGTGTGTCGAGTCCGTGTGTGTGTCTATGTGTGTATCTGCGTCACATGTCTCTGCACAGGTGAGGGGCTGTAGACGTCCATGCGCAGATGATACGGCAGCACATCAGTCTGGCTCAGGAGCGCCCAGCTCTTGGTGTCTTTCTCGCTGTGTCAGCGCAACGCTGAATAGCTGCGCCACACACTCTTCGCAAACATATCCCATAAGACCGCCACTCATTCCTCTCTGAAGCGACACGCCGTCTTGTCGGACACTCTTGTGGGACACTCTTGTGGGTCATCCCCAGCCACTCCGCGCGCTAAAGTTGTACCACAAAGTCGCCAGTTCTCATCTGCCACTTCTCATCTTCCCGCTCCCCACAGACCCCGCGTATGGAGTTGGTGCTACTACCCACTTGCCAGTTCTCATCTTCCAGCTCCCCAGATACTCCGCGTACTCAAGTGGTACTACCAAGTCACCAGTTCTCATCTTCCAGCTGCCCAGATACTCCGCATACTACAGTAGTCCTACCAAGTCGCCAGTTCTCATCTTCCAGCTCCCCAGAGACTCCGCCTACTACAGTTGTACTACAACGTCGCAGTTCTCATCTTCCAGCTCCCCAGCTACTCCGCGACTGCGCCTATTACAGTTGTACCACAACAACGTCGCCAGCTCTCGTCTTCCAGCTCCCCAGGTACTCCGCGTATAAAGTTGTACTACGACGTCGCCAGCTCCCCAGATACTCCACGACTCCGCCCACTAAAGTTGTACTTCGACGTCCCCAGTTCTCATCTTCCAGCTCCCCAGGTGGT